ATGTAGACGGACAAAACATTTTAGAAAATTATAGTTAAATATATATTTATTAAGAAAACTGGAGGATACAGTTATTTTTATACTTAAGGGGAAAATGAATAAAGAAAAAATTCTTATTAAGTGGAAAATCTATGTTATAAATCAACAGAGTTATTCATGTTTTTTTTCTTTTCTGAAGATATATTATTTCGTTTATGAAATTAGTAAGGACAGCTAGTAAGCCTTTTGTTTACTTTGCTACATAAAAAATCACTGCAGACACACTGGTCAAATCTCATTTTCCATGATGTTTAATGGTTGATTAATGATTGTAGCTGTCCACAGATCACCTTCACACACCAATCAACCAAATGCTTGCGTGAGTTTTTACCCTCCAAATGACCCTGGCAGGACCAGAATACACAAATAACTGTAAGATCGCTCTCGTTACATAAGTGCACTACAACTGCAACCAGTACGGCCCTTGCATATGAGATCATCTGAGGTTGTGCTTTTGATGATGCGTGTGCTGCATATGTAGCTGAAAGAGACGTAACGCTCCTGTTAGTCAGTGAATGTGCAAGATTTCTCTGAGATAATTCCCACAGCCAGTTACTGCTTCCCTACGGTGTGTGTGCGTGTGAAGCAGAGGCATATTTGCAGTCCAAGGATTCATTCACCTTGTAATTATGCAAGAGCCTGCTGGCCACCATCACACAGGCAGACAGACAGATGCACTGAACCTGTGACAGAATTACATGAACTGTGAACATTATTTCTTTCTCATCTTGGCCCTGTGATGCTCAGCACTTGACAGGGTATTCGTCGGTGCGGTGGATGGGGTGGGTGGGTGGTTAGCAGGTTTCTGCGTGTGTCAGTATGTGTTGGTGTGTCAGTGTGTAGGTGTGTGTCAGTTTGTCAGCAGTGGCGCCTACAGGACGTGAACACGTGGGGCTACAGTCAGCTCGGGGGGGGGGGGGGATGAATTACAGCAGGCTGCGCCGTTGTAAAACGCTGGTGTATTTGTCAGCACGCCGCTGTGCCCGTCCAGGAACACTGACTCAGATAAGTGGCTGCTCTCGCACTGTAGAGAGTGTATGGGAGGTCAGAGAGACGTAAGAAGTGGCAAACCAACACAGTGGAATGAAAATGCGTGCAGTTAACATTCCACATTCAGCTCCCAGGCAAGATTTCATGCTTTGCTGTGGGAGAGGGCTCTTACCATTGACTGATCAGTGAGTCACTCCACTGTGATACAGACAGCATCTGTTGGAGAGAATTTAATGCAGCATGGGTTTCTGCTGTGTGAATTATGAGTTTTCATAACCTTGATGCAATATGACTGTCTGTATAGTGAGTTTTGAGAGTGAGTAGGCTTGCTATAGAGGAGGATGAGACGGTCGCCTTAAAATATTTCCATTTCCTTCATTTATGTTTCTATACTGTCTGAGCTACTGAGCCAGGCCACCATGTTTTCCTTTAAGGCAGTGATACATCATATAGAGCAGAAGACAGGAGCCAATTAAAGGGATACTTTGTGGATTTTGAACCAGCTTTGTATGGGGCTCAGAGGAAGAGCGGGTTGTCTGCCAATCGGAAGATCAGCGGTTCGATCCCCGGCTCCTCCAGTCTGCATGTGGAAGTATCCTTGAGCAAGATACTGAACCCCAAATTGCTCCCATTGGTGTGTGAGTGTGTTAAAAAAAAAGTCGCAGGTGGCACCATGTATGGTAGCCTCGGCCACCAGTGTGTGAATGTGTGTGTGAATGGGTGAATGTGACTCGTAGCATGAAAAGCACTTTGAGTGGTCGTATGACTAGAAAGGCACTATACAAATGCAGGTCCATTTATCATAACAATGTGGGTAGTGTACGTGAATTAACTGTGGTAAACTTCCTTGCATCTGTAGGAGTGCTCAGATCTCCTACTCATCTCCCAGCTCAAAGCGTTTTCGCTGGTTCTAGGGCTGTCAAACTCAGATCAAATGGTAAAACTAGGCAGTGCTGATCAAATATAAACCAAGATTTTGTCACTGTCCTGCCCATTTGTGTTGTTATGAATATCGATTAATTGATACACTTCCATTGTAAATATTTGAAACGATTTCAAATACACGATTACTCATTTTTCCGCAGTATCAATTCATACTATATCAGTATCAGCACCAGCTGCGCTTTCTCACTCTGTTTTATTGTTTATATTTACTACAGTAATTCTGCTGTTCTCTGCTACTAACGCAGGACAGAAAAGTTATCATTGTCATGTTATAGTCTTGTGATATTAATCTTTTGACAAAAAATCTAAGGGTTATGTATGTCCTCAGTTCCTTTCCCTGTGGCATTGAAAACTGTGTTAAAAATCGATATTTTTCAAGATGTTCTATCGAAGTTAGAATTTCCAGTATTGCCTATTCCTTGCCTAAAATGTCTTCAGAAACATCTTGTTTGAAATCATCTTGTTTGGCTGTAGTATGAGAGTTTGTGAACAGGACGTGAGCATCATACTGTTTCCTGTATTGTAAACACGGAGGCTGAAAAAGTGAGATCAAACAGTAAAACTAAGCAGTGCCAATCAAATACGAGCCAAGATTTTGTTACTGAGTTGCTTTTTTCTCTCCTTTAAATGTTTTTAGAGACATATTTTAGCTTACTGTTAAACTATCATATCAGATTGCCATATCGGTTTTGGACAAGGCAAAAACGGGCAGCATAGTGGTGCAGTGTTGATTCACAGCAAGAGGGTTCCTTCTTTGTGGAGTTCGCATGTGTTCCCCGTGTCAGTGTGGGTTTTTTCAGGGTTCTCCGGCCTCCTCAAACAGTCCAAAGACATGCAGGTTAGATTAATTGGTGTCTTTGAATGGTAGGTGTAAATGTGAGCATGAAGGGTTGTCTGTGTGTGTCAGTCATGTGATAGTCTGGCGACCTGTCCATAGTGTACCCCGCCACTTGCCCCCTGAGACCCTGAATAGGATCACAGACTCTAAAAATAATTTATGTAACTACCGTGACATCAACTGTCAGTTCAGCATTTTGGTTGTCGCCATCTTGGTTTTTTGGAGACAGAAGTGACCATATTTGGGTGAGCGGCTGGAGCTGTGGAGAAGCAAGGGGTGGATCTGACTGAGAAGATGAGGACACTATTGGCAGAAAGCCTGTCACTCAAGCAGCCCCGCCCTTTATTATGTATATCTTTAAGTCTTAATTAAATGTAAACGGGTGAGTTATAGAAAAATTCAACCCCTGTACAGTTGACATGAACAGCAAAATTAGCTACAGAGACCAACTCTGTTTCTGCACCAGGCTGTAAACATGTTTATTTCCTCTGTAAAGTTGGGCATTTTAACATTGGGGTCTATGGGGACTGACTGGCTTCTGGAGCCAGCTTCAAGCAGCCATTCAAAGAACTACAGTTTTTGGCACGTTTCTCTGGTCATGTGGCACCAAATTCAAAAGTATTTGCATCTTTCTACTACATGGACAGCCTTTTTTTTTTTTTTGAGAAGGCCATCTTTCCATTGGTGAAATATTAGGGCTATGTCATGATGAAGTTTTGTGGTTGCATTGGAAACTGTACGACATATTGACTAAGAGGCTATATTAGATTTGGCTTTATCCCAGGCAGGCAGTTAGAAAATGAACATTACTGTACATCTGAGCTGTCATCCCCTGTCAGCTCTCTGGTGAGCTATTTTCAAATCTTACCCAGCACAAGGAGCTCTGCCTACAAAAATGAAGGAAAGTATACATAGTCTGTAAATAATGACAGAGCAGTTAGGTGAAGTTTTATCAGATTGAATTCAGCATTTTTCCCTGCTTGTATCTAATAGAAATGCCACTGAAATACATCTATGAAATATTTGCTTTAGCAGGCATTAGAGAAGATTTATTGTTCCCTGTGGTTGAGAAAGGAAAGGATCACAGTTTATCCCACAGTTAGTGGATTCGAGAGGATGGCGAAGCACCAAAAATGATTTGTTGAAATGAGAGTTCATTTCCTGCTTTGGAACAAATAGCGCTCCTTAAATATGAAGCTCATTTACATGTGTGAGTCACAGAATCGCTCTCCTATGCATTGTCAGCGGAGTGGCTCCAGGCCGTACATCACTGTGGAGGTTTAGTTTGGGCCTCTGGCTTTCTGGTCGCCTGCTATGGTGGAGCAGTTCATGCATTATAGGCCATCCTTTTCAGTGAGAATAATCTGTGATTTAGTCTGTTTGTCTTTAGATTTTCATCCTTATGGCTCCATGGTTCGTCTGTGTGTAGTGGCGGCATGATGAGACAGTAAATCACACAAGAACTGTCTGAGCACTGTTCATTGTTTGCTTGATATAAAATATATTAATTTCTTAACATGCAGTGGGATTGTATAAATACACATATGATTCATTAAACCCATACATATTAATGTGGAAATGTATTTTAAGGCAATGTTTATGTGCCTTTTCCCCCACAGCCCTAACAGTGTCCTTTGTGCACTTGCTACTGGTGCACCACCTGGTGGTTTGTGTGCAAAGCAACTCATATGGGAATTTACTGTAGAGGACAATGGCTTACTTGCTGTGTTATGCTGCCTTTGTGAAATGCGCCACACAGCAGAGACAGTCTATAATGTCTTTTTTATCTCAATTACTGTACCGAAAATTCAAGGACATGCCGGGAAAAATGCTTTTAAATGGGCTCTAACTCTAATGTTTTCATTAGCTTTAAGTATTGATGTGGAGAACTCCCCCTCTGAGCCTTTATATTGTACGCAAATGGCTGTTTTACTGTTATGCACTGTTAAGTATAATCTCTGTAAGGGGACAAAGAGTCTCATTTTTATTAAACATTCCTGAGAGAATCTGCCACTAAACTAGGATAAAAACAGTTTAATCAGAGGAAATAACTAAAATGTGACAGGAGTATGCCCAGAAGTGTTGTTTTAGTTTTAAAAGTTTTATGTTAATGTGCTCCCACACAGTCATCAGATCTTTGACTTGATTTCCATGTTTAATCGATCGTTTCTGTCTTTCCTCGTTGCAGGATGGGCCCTTCAGGTCAGTAGACCCGTACTGATTGGAGACATGTTCTAAGGACGACATCTGAGCCACCATGAAAGGGTTAGGAGCCAACCGCAGTCGTCACCTGTCTGACTCGTGTGAACCACCCGGATGCCCACAGAAGCCTCTGTGTCCTTTGTCCTCTGACCCTCACTGCGCCTTTCTGTTGAGCCCCACCATAAACCACTATGGCACCCTGGACCCCCATCTCCACCAGTGCACACCCACCAGCCCCACCACCCTGACCCCTGACTGCCTGCTGCCTTTCAGCCAGGTGTCCAACAGCAGCACCTTCCCTCGTCTGCACTTCACCTCCCAGACCAACCAGGTCGACTGCTCCCAGGCCTGTATGGCAGGTGGTGGTGGAGTTGGGCAGGGAAGCAGAGCAGGTGCGCTATCCACCTCCTTATCTATGGGTATGGGTTTGGGTCTGGGCCTTACTGGTGCTCCTATGATCACCAGTGGATCAGCCACCATATCCTCTGCAGCAGCAGCTAAGATGAATCGGTTACCCTCCAACCTTTTGGATCAGCTTGAGAGGCACCTGCCACTGCAGCGTGATGGCTTCAGCACGCTGCAGTTTCATAGAGGACGTATGTCGAAGCAGCGCAGTGAGAGCCCAGGACGCATTCGCCACCTGATGCACTCTGTGCAGAAGCTATTTGCCAAGTCCCAGTCCCTGGAAAACTCTGCAATCAAAGGCAGCTTAAACGGGCGCTCCACTGGAGGACTGAGCGTCACCACAGGAGCTGGTGAGGACGGTGGTAGACCAACACGCAGGAGCAAGAGTAAAGACAGGGCTAAAACTGAGGGGCCAAAGCAGAGACCTAGGCCTAATGCACTGGGTCTGTGGAGCTCGGACGATGCCCTGGACACTGACACTACCAAAGCTGGCACTATTGCTGTAGGTTACCGCAACCCGCTGACCATGATGACTCTTGGCAGAGCGGTGTCAGACAGCCAGGCCCCTCCCAGACATATCCCACAGGGCTACAACACCATTTCTGCACATACTCTCAAGACCTCGAAAAGCAGCAGTGACCTCAAGTTCCTGGCATGCCAGGCGACGCAGGTAGGATCCAAGGAAGAGGAGGCGAGAACCAGGGGAAGTAAGGATGATATACTGGTGAAGAGGGGCTCCTGGTCCACTCTCACCCTCAGCCAGGCCAGGCAAGTGTTGCAGAAGGGCTCTGCTACAGTCAATAGGACCCTGCTTAAATCAAAGTCATGCCACCAAGACCTGGCACAACAGTTCCTTCAGGTAGGAGGATCAGTGAGTATTCATCTTCATCATCATTCTTTGTAAGTTTGCATGGATACTTTTATAATTTCTCTGAGGTTTATTGGTTTTATTGATCAGTTCTCAGCACTGGTTTCTGCTTTGAATGATAGTTTACCTTATTCTTTTTATCATATACACTTTATACTCACAGTTATAGATTTTGTCCCATAAATCATGTTCATCCAGTCATATTTTCTTTTAAGCACCACTGCTGCACATGCACAGAATCATACTGCAAATCTATTTAAACAAAGAATTAGAAACAAACCTTTGACATGCAGTGTCTAAGAAAAACACCAGAAGTATCCTCACACCATGCTTTAAGAGTCTCACATCAGTATGTGTGTGTTTTCATAATCCAGGTCCCACTGGGGGACTGGGCAGGAACTCTTGGTCGGGGCCGGGCCAGAGGAACTGAGATCCCCTGTCGAAGGATGCGCAGTGGCAGCTATGTGAAAGCGATGGGAGACTTAGAAGACAGCGAGGACTCGGAGGGAAGCCCCAAACCTTCCCCCAAAGCCACTGCCCGTCGCCAGAGTTACCTGAAGGCCACCCAGCACTCCCTGAGCGAGCAGCAGCCGCCTCCACCTCAACGCAAGTGAGTCCTACAGCATATAGAATCACATTTATCAAACTGGAATTAAAACCTTTATTATCATGCTCATTGTTTTACCATGGTTGTGTTTGTGCTCTCTTGCTTTTCATTCATTAAATTAAAAACAAGCACTGAAGAGGTATTTGTTGTTAAAATTATGGGAAGGAAAATTTCTCTCATGTCCTCAAAGGTAGTCAGCAGGTGGCAGCATCTTGTCACAAATAATTGTCTGGAGTAGCACTTGGTCAAAACAAGCTGAGTGAAGCTATTCATGGAGGTTAGATTATTGAGAGGAGAGAAGTAATGACATACATTATCATCTTTATTTGGTACAAAATCATCAGAAGATGAAATTTTGCCATGTCTTTTACTCCTACATCCACACGGACAGGCCTCGTTGCTACGCTCTCATGCGGGAGGATTATCTGTGGTCTCCACTACAGAGTGCATGCTCTATGCAGCATCTGAGGTCAGTGCCATCCATAGGCAGGCAGTGTGGCCCTCCACCTACCCTCACCTGCCCCACCACTACTACCCACCACCTCTTTTTTTTTGGCTAACCTTTCCAAGTACTTTTCCTCTCTGCCCCCTCTTCCATCTCTTCTCACCTTGCAGGTTCCCTGAGTGGTGTGTCAGTACTTTACTCTTGCCTGATGCCTGATTTCATAACATGCAAATTTTCCATGGAAATCACTCAACCACACCCTGCTGCTTATGCACACACATTTTCACTAACACCAGGTGCCAGAAGGGCAGAGACAGAACAGAGGAAACTTCTCTAAAATGTCCTAGATCAGTGATTCCCAACCAGGGGCACCTGTACCCTCAGAGTACTTCTGCAATTAGCAGGGGGTACGTGTTGCTCAACTGATTTAAAAAACAAAACAAAAAAAAAAACAACAATCTGGTAAAAATGTTTATATACATAAGTATATTCATATATTGAATCACCTATAACTTTAACACAAGGGGCCCTATTTAAATGATCCATAGTGCATGGCGCAAGTGCATTAAGGACATGTCCAGCTCCACTTTTGCTCGGTAAACAGTTTATAATCTGGTCACAAAGTAAAGTGCAAGGGGCAAAGGAGTTGTATTTGTTTACTTAATTAATCATAGGTGTGTTTTGGGCATGCCACGAATTTAAACAATCAGTGTGTCATCTCCCATTGTCTTTAAAGTCAAGGTGTGCACGCACCTGTTCCACTCCTATTTATATGGCATAACGACATTTGCACTTCGCTGTGCACCGCTTCGCGCTGCTTCATGCTGGATGTGAAATAGGGCTCAATGTTTTGCAAAGGAAAATGCATTAAATAAGTTAGTTAGAGGGTAGAGAAGTGGAAACAGTTGGCTAAAAGTGATGTGTAAATGCTAAAAAAAGTAGTTAAAAATACTTAATTTAAAGTTCAAATAGTAAGACAACTAAAAGTATTGTACATGCAGTTGAAATATTTAGCTATAAATATTGAATAAATGGTTAAAATAGATAAATGTCTAGCTTCTGTTACTAGTAGTACAAATGTAAACTTGACCAAACCAACCTAGACATTAACAAGTTAACTGTGAGAAGATTTTGGGTCCAGATGGGTGGTGATGATGAAGGGGAACTTGAGTTCATCTAATGCAGGTAGGGCTGGGCAGTGCATCACTTTCATATCAATATTGTAATATGAGACTTGATATCATCCTAGATTTTGGATATTGGCTTGTCTTTTCCTTGGTTTAAAGATGGTATAATAGTAAACTAAGTTGACTTTCTGAACTTACCAGACCTTTCTAGCCTTTACCCATTTACACTCATTATTCCCATATGACTAATGGTTATTTATCAAAAATCTCATTGTGTAAATACTTTGTGAAAGCTCCAATAGTCAACCCTACAAAATTGCTGCAGTATCACTACCAAGGTATTTGGTCTCCATGGAGTTATATTTGGTGTCTCTATTTTGCCCAGCCCCAGGTGCAGGGGTACGTCTAAAAGAAAAGGTTGGGAACCACTGTCCTAGATCAATGAGAAAGTCAGTTTTCACATTTATCAGTTCTACTCATAAATCATTGTTTCCTCTGCACTGCTATTTTAAACCCTTGCACATATCACTATCTGCACATCGCAAGAGTATTTAATTTAAAATACCCAGGGGAACTTTTTGGAGTGTGATTTAAATTTAAAGTTTCTCCTGGATATCATCAATTAAACACAGCCCTCACTTATTCTGCTCTCTGACTTCTGAGAGGCTGATTATCACGTTCACCTCCACAGCTCCCTGCCGTCCCTGAAAGAGCTGTCGACCAATCGGAGCCTCGATAACTTAGACTGCCTGGTGAGCCCGCTGGAGGCCCCTCCACGGTACAGGAACAATGATTTCAGCCAGTGCTCCAGCACGCTGGGCAGAGGCTCGGGCACTCAGGTATGTCTCTTATCTTATCAAATGTGTGTGCATCACATTATTATTATTCCACTGGCAAAAACCATTTTCTCCTGTGCGTCTGTTTAACTCAGGTGTTGTAGATTAGAAATCAAACAACATTTCCATGGCACCAATATTTAATGTATTTTTTTCTGGGTCATATATAAATATTTATACCATATGGAATTTCATATTTCCTAACGGCTAATTAGATCTTTTTGGATCGACTCCAGTGACACGTTAAAAGAAAAAAGTAAAAATCGCCAGGGAAGGAGCAAAAAATACATTAAAACAACTCTCCAATTCGGCATCCACTGTGAGAGAATATTTAACTGTATGTAATGTCTGCTGAGACAGTCTATCAATATGCCAGCCGGGAATAAGTTGGCGGAAAAGAAGTGATGCTTGAGAGTGTTTGCAGAATGTCAAAGTGGGACATATGCCTCAGTGTAAACCTGAGGGAACTTGTTATATATCTTCATCAGCAGGATTGGAGTGGGATGCAGAATCACACACCGCACTAATGCAAACATCTTTTCATAAAGACGCAGTGGCATCAGTCTCTACTTGTACGTGGGAGCTTTTACATTAATCCAGTAATGACTGAGAGATTCAGTTTCTTTTATGATGACAGTGAAGTCAATCAGAGTAAAGAATTTGTGGATACTAAACTACAATATTTTGAGTGAGTTGATTCTGAGGGATTGTTATTCATGTTTATGTACCACCCACGACACGCTCATGTTTGCTACTAAAATGCCAAACATAAAAATACTTCTACTGGTTGTTTCTACTTCTTTTTATGTCACTTGATCAAACATTTCAGATGGTGCCGGGTGTCAGCGCATATTCCCATGATACAGTGACACATCCATGCAGCAAAGAAATACTGAAACAAAGCTATTTTGAGTAACTCATACAATACTGCACAAAATTTGTATGCTGTCCCTGCTAGAAGAAAAGTCCTCTTTGTGTGTGCTTTTATATGTTATGAATTTTTTTTAACACCATTAACACTGAATAAGAAAAGTTGTCACACCGTTAGCTCATTAGACTTTTCCAAATTAACTTATACTTAAAACTCCAAAGTGACCTGCACCTTGATTCACAGGTATAAACAGTGGTGGAAGGTAACTAAGTACATTTACTAGCATTAAGTACCAGTACATGAAAAGTGTACATACATTTAATTGTTCTTAAATTAAACTTTACATTCCACTACATTTATCTGACCACCATAGTTACTAATTACTTTTCTGAATACGTTTTTCCATTAAAAAAACATATTGAGTTCATAAAATATAATGCACTGTAAAGGATTAATAATGTATGTATTGTAGATTACATAAAGTTTATTTAAAGGGGACCTATTATGCTCATCTTCAGGTTCATACTTGTGTTTTGAGTTTCTTCTTTAACATGTTTACACGCTTTAAATTGCTTTGCCCTAATAAATGAATTAATTAAGATGTATTTTCCTCATATTGTCTGTGTTGGAACACCTGTATTCACCCTCTGACTGAAACCTTTAGCACTTAAGTGCCTGTCTCTTAAAGACCTCCCCCCAATTGAAACCAGTCTGCTCTGAGTGGTCAGTCAACCTTGGTGTCTCTGTACTATCATTGCAGCCAGGAATGACTGTTCAAATTCTATTTGCAGCATGTTTAGCCATGTCATTCCTATTTCTTGTCTACATTAAGCTGTATCTAAATGTAGTGAATTGCAACACCATCAGTTTCAATGGTGAAAAATCCCCTGTAAAACTTTATGAATCAAAATATTCACAACCTGACATGTTCCAGCATAAACTGATATGAAATTGAGGAGAATAAACAACATCAGCAACCAAAATTACATTTTTCCTTGATAGTAGCATGTAGCTACATGTAGCAGTGTACTTTCAGCTGGGGGAATGACTGTAACAGAGAATAGCAGCACTTTCCATCATGAAAAATCCTCAGTAAAAGCTTCCAAACCAAAATCTTCACACCTGGACATGTTCCAGCTGGGGTATGATCCGAAATCAGGGAGAAGTTAACATCGGTAACCAAGATTACATTTTCTGATGTTAGCATGTAGCTACATGTAGCAGTGAACGCAATATAGAAGTGGCACACCTGGAGCAGATGACCATATAAAGAAATCCGTCACAAGCTAGCACAGCTTGTCTCGAAAGTAGAAAAAAACGTTGGCAACAGAGTGTTAAAAACAGTCTGACACCTGAGATTACTTTTATATACGTTTACCTCATTATTTGAAAGTTTGGCCATCTTTAATATAAACATCCAACATTGTCCCATTTTATAAATATATGACAGAAAAAAAGGAAAAGCATATTGGTCCCCTTTAAAGTGGTTCCCAGCCATTTTGACTTGAGGTAGTTGGATCTCCTTGTCATGTTTCAGTTGTCTATGAGTTTGCAGTCCCACCAAAGAGACGTTTCCCCCTCTAAACTTCTCAGATAATTTTGTTTGAATAACTATTTAAGGCCCAAAGAGGATAAATTGTCCAATATTTCACAATATAATCGAAGATCAGAGAAAAGGTTTTAAAAAGAACTGTAAATATGTTTTTCATTATTCCCTCTCCGATTAATCTTCTTATGGTCTCACCATCATGTGACCGTTTGGAGGGGCCCAATCCCCAGGCTGAGAACCACTAGACTTAACTACCTAACTTTACATAAAGCATATAAAACTAGCTTCACCTCAACCAGCTACAACAGAAAAATGCTACTCACACACTGGTGCATCTGTATTAACAGTCTAATAATATCATGTATGTTGGCATGTCAGTCACAGGGGCCATTTTACTGTGGAATTATTACCTTTACTTACTTACCTTTACTTCAAGTACATTTTGCTGATAACACAAGAGAGAGTATTTTTGCATTGTTGTATCAGCACTTCATCTTCCACCACTGGGTATATACCTGTTAAATGCATGCTTCTCAGTCTGCCCTCTGCCCTCAGCGTGTGAGTCTACACACGTTCTTTCAGGTATACGGGCCGGGCTGTGGGCACTCAGTACCGTACTGTGAGGGGGAATCGCAGGCAGTGGAGGCTCTGGATCTGCCTGCGCCCACGTGCTTCCGGTCACGTAGCCACAGCTACCTGCGGGCCATCCAGGCGGGCTGCTCCCAGGATGAAGATACAGCGTCTGTGGACTCAGACTCACCGCCGCCCACCACTACAGGCTACAGCTCCAACACCAGTGAGTACCAGTGAGGACAAGGTGGGATGGAGAAGATGAAGATAGTGTTTGATTTTAAAGGTATATGATGCAGGATTTTCTGAAAAAACAAAGACTCATTCAGAAGTAATCCCTCTCAATCATCACTTATGACCCACTAGAAGTGTGTGCTGGTGTATTTATCTGCTCTTTCTCTACTTGACAGTGTTTATGAGCTTTATAAAAAGTTAGCGACCATGTGCCAGACTGTAAGCAGCAGGCTTCCAAGAAACACAGCAACTAAAAAAAAAAAATGCAAATATAGCGAGGCGAAACGCCAAGCGACATTGAATCAGGGGTTGACTTTTACTTTCACTTTCACTGAGGAGCTTTTACAAACAGTAACTGACAATCCTGCATTGTATACCTTTAAACGTATTAGCCTAAAGGGAGGATATGGTTGACATTAAATACCATCCTCACATCTATTAACTCTGCTTCATATTAGCAACATGAATGTTTTGTAGGGAACTGAAAATTGTCCTTTAAAGGAAGTAGAACAACTCATGGACTTAAATGAGTGCTATTAAATCGACATGAACAACCTGTTTATGAGGCTTATCCCAGTTAGGCTCATATTTAGGATATGGTGTTTACATGAGCACAGAGAAAAAGGGTTATTTATATTCCCTGTGTACATCCTAGTTTCTTTGGGAGTTTTCCTAGCATATTTGGGTTTCTCATAAACAGAATATGGTGTTTACATGCTCAAACCCATAAACAGTATACTCCAAAAACCCGATCATAAAGGGGTTATTCATGTCCATGTAAATGCACTCACTGAAATACATCAACCAGAATTTGTAACATATTGTCTTTTGAGGTACAATTGCTAACAATTTAACTTTGCATGTTAAGTTTATAGAAAACCTAAGGAGCACATACGCTAATCTAGTCAGTATAGTCTGCCTCTGTCTTTACTATAGGTTAAATTATTCCGCACATGGATCAAATATAACTTTACTGTGTTTTGTCTGAGATTACCAGGGTTGTTTCTTGCTTAATAAGTTTGCTTTGTGGATCATCTCTGTGCTGAAAGAAAGCTCTGGAATACACAACCTTTAACACGTGACGTGTAGAAAATTGTTGAAAATAGTTTTGCACTGCATAAGCATTAAGAGAGCAATTATATTTCAGTCTGAATAAGGACTTTTGGCTCTAACTTTATCAATGAAAGTACATGACAAAATATTTATACAGTGACAAAAACACGGAGCTGAGCAGCAACAGTACTCCTCTGAAATCGATGAGTACATGAATGCAACAGAAGAGTGAGACATTTCATGTAATCATACAGTGGTTGTAGAAGTTTGACCTCATTCAGCTGCCACCAAATTTGTGCATTGTTTTTCAGTATGTTGTTTAATTTATGACAAATACATTTGACTTACAACTATAACACCTCCTGAGAGTTTGATTAAATTTCCAACCATCTGTCCTTTTCAAATGACTACCGTTTGGTTTGCAACATCTCCACTGAGCAGCTCTATAATGTAGATTACATAAAGTATGGTTTGTGTTTGAAAAGAATGATGATCAGTCACACAAATGCTGCACCATTAAACTAAAATTAATCATATTTTATTGTTCTGGGTTTGAAAGAAATATGAGAGACACACCGCAATATTTTTCGCCTGCAGCCAGTGATCACTCAAAGCAGGGTGTCACTACCTCATTGATTGTTTTTGTGTTAAACTGAAGTGAAAATAATTTGGACTTTAAAGTGTTCACTGTGGATGTAGTGAATGCATTAAGTAAATTAGAGTATTTTACACGAAAAAACAGAAATATGTTAGATATTCTTTTTTAGCTTTTTCGTCCTAGCAGGTGTAATTGTGTCTCTTATCACTGTATAAAATGTCCTGAAGCTGGACGATATTATCTGAAAATAAAATTAAGGTATAGAATATGGCAGGATTAGTTACATTTTGTAGATTAAAAGTATTATGAGATTGTATCTACGGTGCCAAATGTCCAAATATGCCTGATGGTAATTCATTATGTTTATCATCAGAAGCATATTAAAGATGACTGAAATGATCATACAACCCAATAATAGTGAAGCAAGTATTCTCTCTGGGGTATCTATATCATAAATTGCAATTGTAGTCATACCTGTGTTATCTGTTATTGCGTCATGTGTCTAAATGCATTGAAATTTCATACATTAAAAGCCTGTATTTACATTGGATTATGCCTCACACAGTGCACATTTACTGTTACAATAATCTATTGATACTAACCGTTATTTTTAGTTATTTGCTGTATATACAGGATGCAACAGGTTCTTTGAAACTATCTTGGGTTAAAATCAGTGATAACATGAACTATTAGAATCAGAATCAGCTTTATTGGCCATGATACACACAGCTACAAACAAGAACAACAAAGCTGAACATGGACTTAAATGTTTGACTAGTATGTACAGATATATACAGTGAAATTTGCAAATATGATAATAGTGCAGTAGTGCAGAATGCAAAGGGTGCTGGGATAAATATAAAATGATTAATGTCACAGGCTGCTTTATATGCATGAGGTGGGTGGATATGACAGCATACAGTATGTACAGCACACCTAGATTTATATTTGACACTTAACGGTGTAACATTGGTTTGAGAAGTGGGAGGGACACTATAAAATGGGAGATACAGGGTCCTCCTGCAGAGAGAAATAGCAATTTGAATCTCATTTTCTGCATTTCTACATATATTTAAGGGCTATGGTGAGCAAAACAAAATCTGAGAAATAATTAAGTTGGTCATCAAAGTAAACTCTGCCAGAATGGTACTAAATATGCTAAATTTGATTGTCCAGTGTGGCATTTTTCAGCCAGGATGTGATGGCCGGCCAAACAGTAATATTAAGACAGATTTTTGTGGATAGATAGATATAGTGGTTATGGTAGGGTGTGCATTAAAAATAAAATGCGTCATTTACAGGCACAGTGGATGTCTGTCTCATAGGGTTATGAGGAAGAATCTGTTATTTATTGTCAGCCTAATCTTTAACTAGCAGGTGCAAATTTATAATATAGGTTTATCTTATTTATAAAACATTATATTGACTGATTTGGGGTAATCCAGATGGTTTTGTTTTGTCTTCATGCGCTGATTCATTATGATGCTCGCCTTTACGAAAACAGTGGAGTAACTGGAAACGCCTCCATTTCAATAGAGCCCCATTGTTTAGGGAGACGGGCGGTCACAATGGATCGAATATGTATGAGCTTTATGTCAAAGACTATAGAGCCCTTTCCCGCGGTGCCTGGGACCAAAATGAAGCGCACCTATCGCTAACACAGTCACAAACAACGTTATGCGGAGGCTTCAGCCAATCACGGCCGCGTTCGATTACATCGAGGAGCAGAACTGACCAATCGCTCGCAGAGAGCGGTTACGGCGAAAACGTGGACTCCAATCCTCGTCGTCAAGGGCGTGTACTACAAATCTTTTCTTCACAGCGTCGTTGTGTACGGCAGGATACCGTAGCCCCGTCTGCATCTTGTCTGCATTTCATGAATGACCAGAAAATAAGGATTTTACGAGCCAGCCGCCACACAGTAAGATTCTATCGCTTTTTCTACCAGTGAACGGTAACGTTGAGGCTGTCAGTTGGTGTAGATACGCTAGCAACGGCAAGCTAACGTGAGCTAACGTTGATGGTACGGTAGGTTAGCTAGCTAACGTGGATAAAGAAAGGGGATGAAACCCTAATACGAGTCGTTAGCAAGCAGGCAAGGCAGGTAGACAGTAATGTGGTTGATACAATGGTGGTAACGAGACAAAAATATACCGGCAGCAGCTCCTCTTTGTTGGCTCTCCTCCATTTCTGCTATACAATGCCTCCGGCTAACGTTAAATGCCCTGTGTGAAATCCCACCGTAATGAGCGTTAACTGGCTAGTAGCACAAGCTAACAGTAGCTGAGGCGTTAACAGCCGGGTATGGACAGCTCGGTTACCGGCTAGTTAGGCTAAAACCAACACGTTCACCTCTATTACAGCAAATAGTTCATATTTACTAATACAGTGTGTAATAAAAGCGATCATGCCGTAACAAGTAGTTGGATGTTGGAGATGATTATGTCAAACTTGCTGACACGGATCATTCATTAGAACGGAAAAGGAAACCCAAAATACACCTTGTTAACTCGCATTGGTTTACCTGACATTTACTTTTCCTTTTATGGATTAACATTGGCTTTAGAATAGAATAAAGCACCGTTAAACGATACTTCTGTCTCTTACCACAGACTCAACATGTGACAGTGATCTGAGCTCAGAGGCATGGAGGAAGCAATGAATCACGTTTAGCTTAACTTATCAGTCCATCTACTGAAGTCTAAACTGACAGCTCTTTCTGTAGCAGATTGTGATTTGTCTCACTGCATGGCTTTCTCCTGATTAGGTCAAAGAACATTTTTTTAAGGTTCACATTAATTAATGGAGGATAATCCTGAACTTTGTTTTAACATTTCACTTTTAAAGACGTGGCATGCATAGATTCATTTACTGACTAGAAATCTAGCCTGCTAACATGATTTTACCTCAGCTGCAGTTGCTATTTTTGGGCCACAGTTTCATGTGCCATTTTTATGCAGTAGCTAGCTACCATGTGTTAAGACCTGAGGACACAATCAATAATTTATCAGCTTCCTGTCCTGTGTAGTGCTTTGCAGTTAGGACACTTTACAGTGCTTTTATAAGGACCACCTGACAAGAAGGATGTGCACATAAAAGGAGTGTAGCACCACTGTATCTGTTTCCCGTTTCCATTATATCGAATTCAGCTCATCTTGTTTTATATTTTTTATTTTAACTCATGCCTAGGAAATAATTTGATATATTTGGTCCGTCAAAGTTTGAAATCATTCCACCAGACTGCGTAACAGGCTGCTGGATATCATTACAAACACTGACTTTAAAGCTTCATCGTGCCGACAAGGCGTGTTCATTGTATCCGGCACCATATTACACAAGGC